TAATACAATAATTAAATTGTAAAATTTACTCGCTATTAAGTAATCTTATAAAATAAAAATGTTTTAAACTTATTATTTAAGATATCAGATATAATAATCACTAATTATTATTTATTCGGAGATTTCAAGACTAGGTACACGACGACGACGACGACGATTTCAAAAGTTCTGCCCAAATGACTATAGCTCGTAACGTTGTTACATTACACACGATTATATATACATATAAGCAAATACATTAGGGTGGTATAGATCAGTCGACATAATAGATCGACAAATCTTCAACTTCCTATCTGTCAAAATGGCTTTCAATCGATCAGGTGTAATCCAATGCTATCAATTAGCATTAGTAAATGGTCTTCGGAGAGGGTATACCTATACATTGCGATGTTTACAACAGCCGTTTGTCACGAACCAAATGCGCGATTTATGTTTCACCGAAATACGCCGTCTCCCATTTAATCGCCTAATCGCACCAACCCCATCCCCGCCCGTCAAAATCACTGTGAAACAGCATCGTCCACTATCAGAGTTCCGAGTCAGGTCAATTACACGATTCGAAATCTTCCTGTTTGGTTCAACATAGTTTATAACAATATGATCGACGGTTTTAATTTGATGTTCTAGCAAACGAGTGATCTAAAAATAATATTGACGGCTATCTCTCGTACTAAATTCTAATAATCTATTGACAATATTTCAAAAACAATACTTTTGGTTTCCAACTAAGCATCAAATATTATATTATCGTTCCGCCCCCGATGAAACCCCCTCCATAAATATATATATATTAAATACTGTTTTAATTGGAATAAATTTAATTTGAATTTTTACACTAAAGCTGTAAAATGTACATTCTGCACTACAACTAATATATTAGTAAGCTCAGGTGTACCATGCGCTTTTCATTTAAGCCCCCTGTTAATCATTTTAATGTTAAATAATTTTGACGCTGATCCATGTATTCGTGTAATATATAGGTATTATACCAAGGAAATCTTTAATAAATAGAATTAATAACATGAACAGAGGGCCTAAATGATAACTTTTCGATATACTTGAACT